AATTAAATTAAAAATATTTATTTATTTATTTTAAAAATAATAATAATTAATTTTAGCAAATTCAAAGAAAAAAAAAAGAGATAATTATTTAAAATCAGACGGGACTATTAAACTAAAACTTTGCATAATTAAAGAGAAATAATTAAAAGTGGCACAGACATAACACACAAAAGGACAACCAAGCAACCATGGACTTTTTCTAACAGTCAAACAGACTCAGGAACCGGTAAGTCCTCGTCGGCCGGCGGAGCACTCACCCACTCTCCGTCTTCGTTCCTCACAAGCCCTTTGTTCTTCTCCACCCACCACGATCCTGGCACCAAGTACTGATCACTCAGGAATTCGCAAGACTTGTTCACCAGCACCAAGCTCCTCTTTACCTTCAGCTTGAATTCTCCTTCCTCCCCATTCCACCCTGCTACTATATGCAAAATCGCCTGCAAATTATGCCAATCGCTCGGATTCTTCGAGTCTTTCAAACTTTTAGACTTTCTGGTGTCGATCACCAGTTCCGTTCCAATATAAGCATACCCCATCAATCTTGGGGGATAGTGGGGTATAACATCGATTTTGTTTTTGATATGCAGAATGTTTAAGTTTTTGTGCTGTTCGATTCTCTCTTTGAAAGCACTGTTCCCAACTTTTGGGCAGCCGAACACAAAAGCAGCCACCGGAATATCATCCGTCACGTTCTCCGCCACATCGAAAGCGCTAACAACGGACAGGGAAGCCCCCAGACTGTGTCCGGTGAATATGATGCTCAAGTTGTCGTCTTTGTATTGCTCTATCAAGGATTTGATCTTACGCAGAAGTTGGGTTCTCGCACTTGATTTCGAGAATTCCGATTTTGGGTCGTCGGAGACGTAAATCGTCATCCAACCCAGCATCACTTTAGGGGTGGTGTCGCTGTCTTCGTCGTCGCTGCTACTGCTGTCACCGTCGGATTTAATTAATTTTTCTGGAGTGATTGGACGCAGCAGGGATTTAGCAGAGGTGAGCTCTGCGCCGAGAACATCAATCCACTCGTAGTCCCTGGTGGTACCGCGCAAGGCGATGTAGATCTCACGGCGGCCCAAAGCTTCCGTTCTTTGGTCAGAAGTCACGGCAATGTAACCGATCCAGTTTGACTCGCGGTCCCAGTTCTCACGGGACTTGGAACGGAGAAGGAAGGCCTCTGGGACGCTGACGCGAGCGGTGGCGTAAAGAAACGCGGAGACGACATAATCGGAGGCAGATTCCAGCATGACCTTGTCAAAAAATGTGGACTTACCGTAGCGGCTAGTGCCACAGTACTTGGAGCTCTGGTCATTGTTGAACGCGTCGTAGGTAGCCTGGCAAAAGTCACCGCAGCGGAGGATGAGTTGGCGGAGGGAGAGGTGGAGAGGATCAAGAAGAGAGTCCCAGTTGTTACTGCCCAGAATTTCTTCCCATGTTGGCTCTGCATCCTGGTTTGTGGCCGCCATGAACATATGTGCCTGTACCAATTAGAGACTTGGAGGTTCCTGTGGGGAAAGGTAAAGTTAGTCCTTCTTTGGATGGAGGTCAGTGGTGACGACTGACGATAAAGTTGTGAATAGCAGTATGATTATATGAGTCGCCAATATTTATCTTTACCCCACATTGACATTCTTTTTTCGCCCTTTCTTTTTCTTTTTCTTTAATGTTCGTTCAATTCCCCCCAGGCCTCAACATTCATTCATTCACCTGTAATAGAGAAATCTAACCAAATTCTGGGGTCAGGTAAGGATATAGCAACCACTCATTTTTATTAAGATAATTAATTTTATTTTGTAATTTTAAGATTTTTATAATTTTTTATTTTAAATAAATTTATCTATAAATTAATTTAAGTCTTTTAAATAATAAATTAATTTAATTTTTGGAGTAGATGTATCACATAAAACGGTGTCGTTTTGCCTTTAGCCTGCGGCCTTGGGTTTTCGCGAAAATCATACCATATTTTCAGGCCCATCTCATTTCACAATGGTAGAAAAGAAATAGGAGCCCAAGTGCTTTTCACAAAAGGACCAGGCCTTCAATACCCATCTACACTAGGCGTCTGCGAACTTTGACTGTGGGCTCTTGTCTGTTTTGTTATGACTTTATTGTGGGCCTTAATACAGATGCAATCCCTGGCCCACTACAAGTTCTGGCTTGAGCCTTCAGGGTCTCGAAGCCGACTCTCCAGCGAAACTACATAATCTTTGCCCACCTAAACATTACAATATTTTCCAAAATAGTTAATGCAAACTTGCGTCTGTAACAAATGCTGCACATAACAAAAATGAGTAGTTGGAAGATTCTAATTGACTCTGGGAAAAACACAATGAAATGTCCATGCCTGTGTCAGCTTCACTTCCCTAGCTACTCCCTAATAGTTTGAGACATATTAGGTTAATCTGCTCGCCGCTATACATAATGAAAACTGTCTGCATCTCACAATTTTGACAAAACCGTACCAACTCAAATAACCAATCAAATATTTTATGCAACAATTCCTAATATCAAGAAGGATTTTCTCACCTAATGCAATGCACAAGTGACCAATGTAGCATTCCATGTTTTCGTCATTTCATCACCTAATTCCTAATACCAACTTATTTACGTTTCATCATCTTTCTCTTGATTGGAGCTTCTCATGTGGTTGATGCTGCCAGGGAATTGGGGTTGCAAGAGGAGTATGATGTTCCAAGACACCTCAACCTTTTCCAGTCAGCCATACGGGGGAGGCAGAGGCTGCTGTCATGCGGTGGGGATCCTACAGTGTGCTTGGATCGGGAGAGGAATCCATGGGGAGGCAGCACCTGTTGTTTTGGGCAGATCTGCAAAGACACCA